AAAAAAAAAAAAAAAAGGGGAAATCTCCGGGCTCTCCTTTTCCACCAGTCTGGTCTCCTCTTAACACTGGTGTTCGGCTACCAAGCACCAAACTCACACAAGTTTCCCCGAAAACGAACCGCTGTAACGGCCGGGAGGAAAAAAAATGTCGGGGGAAAGAGTGGAGGTCGGTGTTCTCTAAATGCAAAACATCAGAGAGGAATGTGAAAAGAGCTTTACTTTCCCTGCGAAATCTCCATTGTTGCTTGGCAAACAATGGGGGCCCGGGCGACTGTGGGGCTGTGAGAATGAATAGGCGATCCGCGGGATGTGTGCGGGTCAGTGCTTGGGGTCCCGGGCCTAAAGCCCCTTTCTCAGCTTGCCACAATAAACCAGTGCAAGGTTCAGTCTTTACTGGGTCACCGGCCATCCTCTATTATTCAACACTTCACAACAAAAAACACTTATTAATCAGCGCTGACCAGAGGCCCCTTTTGAAACAAGAGAAGAGGAGAGAGAGGGAGAGAGGGAGAGAGAGAGAAAGAGAGAGAGAGAAGGGTGAAAAGAATACTGAGAAGCCCTGAACAGATCTTTCTAAAGCCAGAGCAACCGTAGGGTACTTTCCTTCAGTGGCCAAAGTTTATTTGACACAACAAAGTTTCTAATCAGGCCACGCAGACGTGGATTTCTCATTTGCCTTACTCCCTGTCTCTTCCTCTGAAGATTTTGGAGACTTTGTTGCGAGGAAGGATGGCTTTAGGTCAAATTGCTAAGGCCTGATCTTAAAGATCTAATTGCTTATTGGAAGAGAGAAGCCTGTTTCCCAGCTGGGCCTCCACTCAGGAGATGGCTCAAGGAAGACCGTCCAGCTCTGCTCTGGGCACCCTGCTGATGGATGAGGTGTCAGGCCAGTAGTCATGTGAGGACTGGTTTCCAAATGGTATGAGCAGTAGTCGAATGTGGTACTTGTTGGTGATACTGAATGCAATCTGTAGATTTTCTATTTCATGATGTTTTCGTCTTGGATATGTTAAACGACTAAAACTTGCTTGCTCGGATCAAAAGGAACTGATTATTCCTATGCTTAGACAAGAATTTAAGGGAAAGAATGTGCCGAATAGTTTTAGAGAAGAAAATGGTTCAAAATGTTTCATACCACTAAAATCAATGGGCCAATCTTGGCTCAGCTTTGATATTTTTTTGCAGAGTTTATTTGATGTTTGTAACCTAATTGTATTTCTTTCATTTATCTGGGTACATGATAACTATGAGCACATGCTCAGACATATATGGACACTCACATACATCAAAGTGAAGTGCTCCATACGTCAGCTGCATGGATGAATTTAATCCATTTGGAATTTAGCTCTACATTTTTGATGGCGAAATTTTGTCGCTTTTTGATTTGGGGTTGGAAGCCAATATTTCTTGGTTGTTCTGTCTGTTTTACATTACTCAGGTTGTAATTTAACCAAGTGAGCAAAGCTCTTTTGTAATGGCTGATGTGTACAAGTGAACGGAGGCAGCAGATATTGAATCTTGGTTGTCAAAGGACATAAAACAATTATTTTCCAAAGAAATAGAAGTGAGTGTCAAAGCAGTATTCTTTTAAGGTTAAAATTTCGTTTGTGTGCACTTTTGGATTCCTGGGTAACATAACTAAGCATTTGACTTGTTATGATTCAAAGAAGCCTTTAAACCCAGAAAATGTATGTATAGGGGGCTGTGAGTTCAGCAAATTAAGCTGTAGAACTAGATGGCTTGGTAATGAAAGCAAGAAGGCAGAATTACTTGGTAGTAAACTACACCAGTATTTACCAGAGTTTATGTACTAAATGCAAAAATGGGTTGCATGGTTTGGTCTCTGGAAGTGTTTTACTTAAGCTGCCTACTATTTGAGATTGGCTTTTTTTATGTAGAAAATATTGTGTTACTCAGATTTTGCAGAGCTCAACGGTTCTTGCAATGGAGTAATCAACTGTTATCTGAATTATTTAAAGCCTGGGATTAAAGGCCTTGGAGTTGAACGCTGACAAGCTCTCACATGTAGGCAGGGGAAAGTTAAGTATTCTTTTCTTTCTGTGTATACTTTGAAAATAATTTGGTCAAGTGTGGTGAATTATTTTTAAAATTTATGCATAGGAAAAATGAATAATTCTCTTACAAATTGTTTTCCAAATGAGCAAATAAGACTATTCAGAAAAAGAGCAGGAATCTGTTTAATACATAACAACGTGTCACCTAAAATGCACTGTTTTTCTAAAGGATTATTCTTTAAAACACGTTTTTGCTATAGAAGCCTCCGCTGTTTCAGAAAATTGTTCAGGTTGTGGACACACAGAATATAGTCATTCAACAAATTCATTTGTAGAACATGGCAACTTTATGTCATATTCTTCCTTTTAGTATTTTGGTTAACTTCCTAATTTGCTTAAAGGAAACAATATGCCATTGTGTGTATATTTTTACTTGTAAACTGAAGTTATGTAGTAAATGGAACTAATCATTCACAGAGTATCTTCTAAGTGAATTCTATTGAATAAGCAAATAGTCGAGAAAGGCTTTAATCATAATATATAATACATTGAATGTGTATATATATCATCACACAGCACATCATTTTAACACATATTTACAGACTCCAAACACTTTTCTTTCTTTCTTTCATTTTTTTCCCCTAAGAAATTAAGTAAATAGCATTGTAATGACATTCCCTTAAACATACCAGTGAATTTGTATGGAAATTGGAATAGCTTCCACATTTGTCAAAGGAGAAAAGAATAATACGTAAACATTATATTCAGCAAACAATAGAGAAATGTTATTTGTTGATATTACTTACCATGGAAGCAATACTTATTAAATTTGGTATATCTTTATGAAATCATTGTTATTCCAAAGTACATTTATTCAGTACTACATGCACACTGTTGTATTTTTTTAAATAAAATACATCTGTAACAAAAACCTAAAAATTAATAGATTTAGCAAATCACAGAAATTACTTAGTAGGTATCTAAGTCATCTATATCCTGGAAAAATTTTTTTACCTTAAAAAATCCATCTGGACATTAAAAAAATGGCACAGTTAACTAAATCTCAACCACAAAAGGAAACAAATATCTTGATAGAACTTGTGCATCTTTATCCAAATGAAGGCTAAATAGCAGACTATAGCTATAAAATTAAAAGCATACACAATCTGGTGAGTTTATTTTGAAACACATTTCATTTTTTGCATTTGTTTTTCTTCCTGACATGCCTATAATTCAGACATTTTTTCCATCTTGACAGAATTTGTCAAATTCAGTTCAAATTTATATCAACATGATCTGACAAAGTATAGTATTGATAGGTTACCGTGAAGTATATATGTAAAGTCTACCAAATGTTGCTCTAATACATGCTGCTTTTTCTTTTATCTAAAAATAAATCAATGTGGTTTTTCATGATAGGGAGAAGGTAAAAAGGAACCGATAGAAATTGGACTTGCCCTCTATGATTTGCCCTGTTGCCCAAGAATTCTGTCTGGTTAGTGTAGATCTGAGACTTCCGTGGAGGGACTCAACCTAGTGCTTATTTATTTATAAACTTCCACCTCAGTCGAGATTCTAAGTTATATTTAGGAAACCAGAACCTCACACAGTATGTGTTTATTTGATTCTTCAATTTAAATACCTCATGAGTACACCAAAAGTAATTTTTAATGGAAAATTTTCATTAGGCTTACATGCATTCCCTCGAAGCATCCCTGATATATTTCTACATATACCATGACGTCTCATTTTTTTGGAAACAAAGGAAAATCAAGCTCCTGAATGAAACTTTATCCCCCAAATTTTGTCCATAGGTATTCTTAGTTTAATATTTCCATCAAGTAATTGCATTTTGATACCGTAAAGTCCATTTTGGCTTACAG